TATATATATATATATATATATATATATATATATATATATATATATATATATATATATATATATATATATATATATATATATATATATATAAATATATATATATATATAAATATGCATATATAAAAATATATAAATAAATAAATAAATATATATGAATATATATACTGAAGTCAGAATAATTAGCCCTCTTTGAATAGTTTTTTCTTTTTTAAATATTTCCCAGATGATGTTTAACAGAGCAAGGAAATTTTCACAGTATATCTGATAATATTTTTTCTTCTGGAGAAAGTCTTATTTGTTTTATTTCAGCTAGAATAAAAGCAGTTTACATTTTTTTTACAGCCATTTTTGGGACAAAATTATTAGCCCCTTTAAGCTATTTATTTTGCCGATAATCTATAGTAGTGGTTCTCAAAGTGGGAATCGGGACCCGCCGGGGGGTCGCGGGACAATAAAGGGGGGTCGCCTGGTGATTTCCAAAAATCTATTTATAAAAAAAAAAACATTAGAATTACCATATTTTATCCATAACCAACTGAAGAGAAAAAGTAGCCATTTATAGTTACTATATATAGTTACTATAGTAGCTTATAGTTACTAGTTCTATTGTTTTGCGACCCCTGGGGTAATTACATAATATTAATATTAAAGACACAGCAATAGCAGCAGATGCAGCAGATAGATTTTATGGCAACAGGTTAAACTTTCTGGCCCATTTACAGCACTGACATACATTAAAAAATTGAACTCTGGTTGGTTTCTGTATTTAAAACCACCTCAGAGGATATTGGGGGTCGGGAGTCACTGGCATTGTCATTTTGGGGGTCGCGGACTGAAAAGTTTGGGAACCTCTGATCTACAGAACAAACCATCATTATACACTAACTTGCCTAATTACCCTAACCTGCCTAGTTAACGTAATTAACCTAGTTAAGCCTTTAAATGTCACTTTAAGCTGTATAGAAGTGTCTTAAAAACTGTCATCTTGACAAAGATAAAATAAATAAGTTATTAGAAATGAGTTATTAAAACTATTATGTTTAGAAATGTGTTGAAGAAATCTGCTCTCTGTTCTCTCTCTCTCTCTCTCTCTCTCTATATATATATATATATATATATGTGTGTGTGTGATTGTGTTTTTTAAAGTTACAAAATCTCTTCGGCCTTAAAAATGTGCAAATGATAAACTTTTACTCCATTATAGCTAATATTGGCAGGAAATCAGGAAATGTATTATCAATAATAATGTATATAAAAATATTATAAAATATAAATATAATCAGCGCTTAACATTAACATCCGCCAACCCGCCAAATGCGGGTAGATTTCAGCTCTGGCGGGTTAGACAGACAACTCCACTAGCCACTTTGGCTGGTTGGAAATCATTTTTTTAAAGTTGTAGTTTTATTAAAAGCAGGGTTCGACAATAAGCATGGCCCAATATTTGTGCAAATGTGATATTAGAATCGAGAACAGTGACTCCAGCCACCCAAGCCATAGACTCTTCTCTCTGCTACCCTCAGGCAGACGGTTCCGCAGCATCCGGTCACGCACCAGTCGACTGAAGGAAAGCTTCTTCCCTCAGACAATCAGGCTGATGAACAATTAACACACCACACACAGACTCTTCCATACCCCTCACTGCACACCATCAATATGTAGCATGCACTGCACTTTAACCAATCCATACTTGAAACAATACTGCCTACAACTATGTGGGCACCTATTTAGTGTACATAACGCTGTCAATTTCACATTCGTTGCATTTTGCACTGTCTGTATTTTACACTGTCGTTGTATCTGCACTGTCATTTTATTTGCACTGTCTGTATTTTGTTGTATTTGCACTTGTATTTTGTACTGTCTGGAGCCAGCACCTAAGCTTTCCACTCATCATAGCACACGTCCTGCTGATGGTGTGACAATAAAAGTGATTTGATTTGATTTTGATTTGAGAAGCAGCACGACTGACAAAAATAACTGTTCGCGCGAGCAAAAGCAGGTGAATACAGAATGAGAGCATGAGCACTCGCGCTAACAGCTGATGTGATGCGCGCGACTGTTAAAAAGAGTGTGCGCGCTCCTGTTTACATGCGCAAAGCAACTATGCTTTAAATGTAGTGCAATCGGTGCGAATGGTTCCCTTTAAATAGACTGGACAAAGAGCCATGATCGTGCACCCACAGTCCTGCGGCTTTCAAGAGGTCAAGATAAAAAAAAATACACATATTCTTTTGTAAGCAGCAGCAGTCACTGCTTTCATTTGAATTATTCTTAGAAGAGATTTTTAACAGGCCTAACATTAAATATGTGCACGGTGTGTTTCACCTGCTTTCTTTTGCTGACAGTTATTTTTGTTAATATGGTTTAATTATCATTTTTAACAATAACATTGCTTTATTGGGAGATTACTCCTCGTTTCTGTTTAGTTAACTGCTGGTCTGGGACTTTTAGCCAGGACAGATTACTGCATAGCAAAATTTCTCTGGCCCAGCTCTGGCCCACACAATCAGGTTTTGCTTGGCCCACATGCCGCAGTGAATTACGGTACATGACTGGACCAAATCTGGCTTCCAGACAAGGGCCAAACACAGACCATATCTGGGCCAAGTCTCAGCCAAGTTAATAACTCATAACTGGGCCTGAACTGGGCCAGATGGGTTGGTGTGTCACGATTGCAATGAAATTGATAAACCCATGGAGTGATGCGCTTTAGGCACACTATGGGCACGCTTTTTCTCAAAGTGACCTGATTGGTAGAATTTTTTTTCTTTACTCAAAAATGATTTTAGTGTATTTTAAATGTGGGTCAAGACTGGCCAAACTCACATGGCCCACTTATCAAATTTTTAAATCTGGGCCAAATACTACGTTTTTCATCTGGCCCAAATCTTGTGTGCCGCCTTAAAAACGGTGCCACCTCTGCCAAACCCGGGCCATGTTTGGCCCACATGCTGTATGCCAGTGCCGGATGAATGCCTGCTGTGCCAGCTTTATGCCAAATCTGGGCCAGAATTCTTTGCTACTAGGATTACTGCATATTTTAAATTTATGACATTAATTATTTATTAAATGTAAAGTTTTTTTAAAGAAAAGTTTTGTTGAATTAAAAAATGCACCTATAAAGCTGTATTTTCCTTGATTTGACACATTAAAAATTTGTGGCTAAGAAATACTTAAAGCTGATTGCATTGCGACAGTCTATTTGCTCATGCACACTGAGCAAGCTAATACACAACACACACAAGAAGTGAAATAAATGAGGAGGCATGTGGACATAACACAACATCGAAATCAAGCCATTCAGCATGCCAAAGTCAAATTTAAGCAAAATATATTTTCCCAACAAGAAAAGTGTGGCTAGTGAAAATGGCGAGTGGCTATTAATGCTGGACATCTACTAGCCACAGTGCCTGGTGATCTAAAAAGTTAATGTCAAGCCCTGAATATAATGTATATACATTTAATGCCCATTTAATAGTCATTTATTCATTCATCCCTTGCTCTTTCTTTGAAATAATTTCTGAGTAAAATAGTTTCTACACGATTTATTGTTGTTCAGTTGCTCAAATATCAAGTGTTTTCCAGTGAGTGTTCAGGATTTCTCTCATTAGCCAACCTCTGTGAAAGCGTGTGGATTGAAAGCCATCTGTTCTGTGGTTTTACTCAGTTTTACCGCGGTGTACACTGACTGAACCCAGTGCAGGTGGGCAGAACTATGAATCACGCTACAAACAGAGCAGAAATAGCAACAAAGAAGAAGCTCCAACTGCAGGAACAGCGATTGTACTCTAAATCACTGTAGAGGAAGCATCTGACACATGCATCAATGCAAATGCAGGAAAACACTAAACTCATTCTTTGTTCTAGCAGGAAATGTATATTATAATATCACAAAAAAACCCTGCCAGGAGCACATCTGAATCCTTTTACACCACAACCTCAGAGCCAAAAAATAAGAATATATAGTTAGCATAATGCTTTATTTTACTATGGCCATTTAAATGATGGTGTTTCAGCTCACTTCCACAGCCGGTTCTTCATTCTCCAGAGATAAAGTGGCATGATATTTGTGATTGATTATACATTTGTAGCCACGTTTTGATTAATCACACAACTTATTTGAAGTTATCTCTAAAAAGTATGTTTGTATGTGTATTTAGAAACATTTTGTCTTGAAAATACCAACTTAAAGACTTTTTAAAATATTTATTCATGATATTTGTGACTGATTCTAAATTTGAGGGTTGATTTTGCATCTCCAAGATGAATCATTAATTATTTTTTCAAAATCAAAACACTTTAATAAAGGAGTTTTGATTATAAACACTAATTATATTAGGTTATCTCTAAAAAATGTGTTTGTATGTGTATTTAAGTTCATTTTGTCTTGATAATATCAGCTTGGAGACTCCCACTATAGCTATTTTTTGTCTGTGCTTGTCTCCAGCATCATACATTCTGCTTTATTATCAATAAATAAAGTCTATTTATTCATTCACTCATTCATTCATTTTCCTTCAGCTTAGTCCCTTATTTATCAGGAGTTGCCACAGCGGAATGAACCGCTAACTAATCCAGCGTATGTTTTACGCAGCAGATGCCCCTCCAGCTGCAACTCGGTACTAAGAAACACCCATACACAGTCAAACACACAATCATACACTACGGCCAATTTAGTTCATCAATTCCCCTATAGCGCATGTGTTTGGACTGTGGAGAAAACCGGAGCACCCGGAGAAAACCCACGCCTACAAGGGGAGAACATGCAAACTCCACACAGAACATGCAAACTCCACACAGAAATTCCAACTGGCCCAGCCAGGACTTGAACCAGCAACCTTCTTGCTGTGAGGCCACAGTGCTGAACACTGAGCCCCCGTGCCACCCTAAATAAAGTCTAAATTAAATTATCATTCAATTAAAGTCTATTTTTTTGTGTTTACGCAACTAAAAATACTACTAAATTAATATTTGCATGAAACATCTACGGTCTGTATTATTAGTAACATCAGTAATAAAAACTAAATTATTTTGTGTCTGTTGCTACAAATTGTAACAGTATAGTTTGCTGTATTCTATTTATAAATAATTAATGATTATTAAATTTATGAATAATTACAAAACATGCTTAATATAAAAACAATAAAAAACAATAATTACAATTTAAAAAGTAAAATAAAAAGTTAAATAAAATAAAGTAAAATAAATTAATAAAATTAAATTAAATAAAATTAGATAAAATAAAGTAAAATAAAATAAATAAATAAAAGGAAACAAAAACAAACAAAATAAAAAATAAAATACAACAAAATAAAAAAATAAAACAAGACAAAACAAAACAAAACAAAAACAAACAAAACTAAATAAAACAAAGTAAAATAAAGTAAAATAAAAAAATTAAATAAAACAAAAACAAACAAAAAAATAAAATAAAATAAAATAAAACAATAACAACAAAAAATTAAATAAAGTAAAATAAAGTAAAATAAAAAATAAAATAAAATTAAATTAAACAAAAACAAAAATAAACAAAACTAAACTAAATAAAATAAAATAAAGTAAAATAAAAAAATTCAATAAAAGGAAACAAAAACAAACAAAATAAAAAAATAAAATACAATAAAATAAAAAATATAACAAAACAAAACAAAACAAAACAAAAACAAACAAAACTAAATAAAATAAATTAAATAAAACAAAACAAAATGAAATAAAGGAAAATAAAGGAAAATAAAAATAAATAAAAATAAATAAACCAAAAACTAACAAAACAAAATAAAAAATAAAATAAAACAAAATATAATTTTGGAGTAAAATATCAGAGGTTGAATTTCTTTCTAACACATTTAAAATTAAACAAATTAACTAGATCAGATGAAAATGTGCTTGATCAATGCCATTGGGCTGTTAAAAGTTGGATGAGCTGTTTAATAAAGTGAATTATCACCGTCTATCAGATGGAAGAGGTCATGTTCATTTTGTCCTGTTGAACTTTTGCCTTCTGGCATGTAATTGTGCAGCCCTGATGATAAATGCATCAAGCGGCCATAAAAACGGAAATTATTTCACACTTACTGAACACTGATTTATGTGTGTGTGGCAGCGATATTAAATTGTCAATTTATCATTAATTGCCACGATCAAGACCTACAAAAAGAGCAATCATGTTAATCTGTAGAGCAAATATTAAAATCCCAGGACAATTTCATCAGCATGTGATGAGCTCTGATCAGATAAACATAATAAAAGGAGCTCAGTAAAATAAGAAGCAAACAAACTAAAGCATCTCTGATGAAGGTTTAATCTACAACAACATTTAGAAGGAAGGTCAAACTCAAAGAACAGCTTTAATGGTCAATTATGCCTGATTGCTTTCCTTCAAGATCTATTAAGTTAATCAAAATAAATGCACTTTATGCACACAATGACTTTTATGAGGAACGTTTACAATTTCTGGACTGAATGTCACTGTCATTGACCTTAAATCATAACAGAAAAAGGTCTTCTTGAAATGCTAAAACTAAATAAATAAATAAATAAAATAGGGCAGCATAGAGGGTGGCACGATCACCTCACAGCAAGAAGGTCACTGGTTCGAGCCCCGGTTAGGCCAGTTGGTGTTTCAGTGTGGAGTTTGCATGTTATCCCCTTGTTAGCGTGGATTTCCTGCAGGTGTTCTGGTTTCCCCCTCAGTCCAAACACATGCGGTATAGGGGAATTAATCATCTAAATTGGCCGTAGTGTATGAGTGTGAATGCAAAAGTGTATGGTTGTTTCCTGGTGTTGGGTTGCAGCTGGAAGGGCATCCACTGCGTAAAACATATACTGGATAGGCTGATGGTTTATTCCATTATGGCGACCCCTTATTATTAAAGGGACTAAGTCGAGAAAAAAAAAAGAATAAAAAAAAAGTTACAATGAATTGAATAAATAAATAAATGCATAAATAAAAAGAAAATGCATAAATAAATAAATAAATAAATAAATAAATGCACAAATGCATAAATAAATAAATAAATATATAAATAAATAAATAAATGCACAAATGCATAAATAAATAAATAAATAAATAAGTAAATAAATAAATAAATAATACAACAAAACAGCAAGTTATATATCTGCAACAAAAAATTACATCACTGAAAAGATGTAACTGACTGCATGTCAATAACTTCAAATATTATCAGTTAAATTGGTTCAGGTTCACCTCATAATTGTGACAAAAAATGCTTGGTAATTAAAAAAAGATTATGATGTTATTTAATTATCATAAATTAGTGTAAATGTGCAAAATATTATACCTAAAATGTTATATCATATACACAAAAATGAAATTTAAAATATAGCTGAAGATAAAATTTTGTTGTAAAATTATAAATTTAAAATGATTATAAAGATATTTAAAGGCGGAATGAAAATATATTTAATTTATATTTAAAATGATGATAAAGATGTGTATTTTTAAATAACAACATGATAGAAAACGACTGCTGCAAAGGGATTTCAAATACACTGTTAAAACATTAGGTAGTAAACTGTATTTTAGTCCATATTCTGTCATTCAAAACTATGTTATGCTTATTTATGGCTATGAATTGCATTATGAGACCTTGATCTCTGCTCTGTTGACATTTGATGTTGAAAACTCAACTCGGCAGATTAATATACATTTAGAAATAAGACCATAAAAAGTAAAAAAAATAATCACTGTTTTTGTACCTACATTTTTAATTAACCTTAAACATAGTTAAAACTAACATGTTTAAAATGTGTATGAAGAAATCTTCTCTCCTTTAAGCAAAACTTGGGGAATATTTTAAAACAATTAGAAAATTAATATTATTCGCCCCCTTAAGCAATATAAGTTTTAGACTGTCTCCAGAATAAACCACATACAATGACTTGCCTAATTACCCTAACCTGCCTCGTTACCCTAATTATCCTAGTTAAGCCTTTAAATGTCACTTTAAGCTGTATAGAAGTGTCTTGAAGAATATCTAGTCTAATATTATTTACTGTCATCATGACAAAGAGAAAATAAATCAGTTATTAGAGATGAGTTATTAAACTATTATGATTAGAAATGTGTCGAAACAATCAGCTCTCTGCTTTAAGCAACACTTGGGAAGTGTTTTCAAGAATGTAAATGGTGCATAATTTTAACTTTGACAGATATATTATAGTGTAGACTAATAAGAGACACTCACATCCGATGAGCATGACGCAGATGGAGAAGATCTTCTCGGAGTTGGTGTTGGGAGACACGTTCCCGAAGCCCACGCTGGTCAGGCTGCTGAAGGTGAAGTACAGCGCGGTCACGTATTTGTCCTTGATGCTGGGCCCGGAGCTGCGCGGGCTGCTGATGTTGTACTCTTTGCCCAGATGAACCCCGAGCGCGTGCAGCCAGCCGATGGAGCGGTTCTGCTCCACATTCCCAATGGCGTACCAGATGCAGGCCAGCCAGTGGGCGATCAGAGCGAACGTGCACATCAGCAGGAACAGCACCGCCGCGCCGTACTCCGAGTAGCGGTCCAGCTTACGGGCCACGCGCACCAGACGCAGCAGACGAGCCGTTTTCAGCAGCCCGATGAGGGTGGTCTGCTGAGTGGGCTGCAGGAAAAACACTGTTCATTTAGCATGAGCTTTAAAAGGGCATCTCTTGCATAACAAATCACTTTTATAGAGAGTTTAAAGAGCATCGAAAACGAAAATAAAAAAGAAAGTAGAGATTTCCAAAGTTGCTTTGACTTTATTTCATTGCAGACAATATGAACACTAAATATTTCAATAGTATCTGGATGCAGCCTTTATGATGCAAGCTGAGACTGCATCACTCAGCGATGCAATGTCAGACACAATGCACTCAATGGAGCTAGTGACGTCACTGTGACGGGTAGGGTTAGGGGTAGCGGTGTAACGATACACTCAGCTCACGATACAATGTGTATCAGGATATAATGTTCACGATTCGATATTTATCACGATATTTGGAATAAAAATTAAACTGAAATGCAAATTTTATTTATTTTTTTATTTAATTACCAAGTAAACTATTTTTCATGTATTTCTTTTGTTTCAACTTGTTAAACTGAACCTTCTTTAAGAAAATAAATTAAACAGGCCTGTCTCTGGAAAATAAAACAATTTAAAAGCTTCTTATAAAATATTATTCAAATGATTCAATTCAATTGAATTTTACAGTAAGAGCTTAAAGCTTTGCTTGGTCAATTGCATTTTTCGTGTGTGCAATCTACATTTCCAGGTAATCAGCAGTTCTATGAAATAATCCCTAACTGATGTGTGTCTGTCTGAGAGGTTTTTATGGATGGCTGTCTTCATGATGAGTGCAGGGTGGCCGTCTTTTCATTACACAGGAATCTATTCAGCAGTTTAGGCAGGTTTACTACTTCCTCGGCGTCGCTGATGTCGGCGTTATCAAGTGTATCATGTTGACGTGCATTTTTATGTACCTCTGTACTCAAAAGAGTTAATGCTCGTCGTAATCATAACTCTAAAATGCGATATGATTGTTTAAATAATGTGCACGCTTTCGGTTTCATTTCCACTGCTGTTCATACTTCCCACGCGGCTCCTGAACGATCACTCTGTTCCACAAACTGAATGTTGTTTACTACTTTATTACCTGTTAGTCACAACCTGCAGGTTCTGTTCACTGAAGCAGACGCGCGCCCTCTGTAGTAACAGCTCACGGTCAGCTCACGTCATGTGTGATTTTGCAGACGCGAACACATCATTATATGAAGACAGAATGATATTTTAGGGTGAATTGTACCTTATAAATACAGTGTGTGACTCTTTCAACACCATTAGGAGGTATCCATGTCGCTGTGCAAAGTATGTAAATCACTGTGAAGACTTTAAAACTATGTTTGACCCAGTATGCGTGACAAAAAGCGGACGAGTCTAAAGCAATGACTGTACAACCGAAATGTTGCCAGACGTCTGATTTTGAGAGGATGGGTCATCCTCTATTTCAGCTCCACTCATCTTGGTCTGCTAACATTACTGCTGCTGCAATCTGAACTCACGTGCGACAGCAGGTGGAACGTAGCTAACGTGCAAACAGCTCAACTAATAAGAGAAAACGGACGTCATATCGTAATCAAATCGTCATAACGCCACGATGCATATCGAGACATTTTTGCATCGCAATAAATCGTACAACGATAAATCGTTACACCCCTAGTTAGGGGTGGGGTTAGGTGAGCCCATTAAAAAGCATCGGATGCAGCTCAGATTGCACTGCACCAGGTCTGCATCCAGACCCCTCTCAAATATTTCATGCTTTGTCTGGTCAACTTCATTTCATTTGTAAATATACATCATTCGGACCTGCAATAAGTTGTGACAGGAGCAGTTCAGGGCTGGTAATCAGGTAAACTGGTGAAATAATGAGGTGATGTGAAACAGGTGATGTCAACAGGTGATTGTGATTATGCTTTAGTACAAAAGCAGCATCCAAGAAAGGTCTAGTCCTTTAGGAGCAAAGATGGGCCGAGGATCCCCAGTTTGACAACAAATACAAGCGGAAATGATTGAAATGTTTTAAACAATGTTCCTCAAAGAAAGAGAGGAAGACATTTGGATATTTCACCTTTAACAGTGCTGAACATCAGTAAAAGATTCAAGGAATCTGGAGGAATTTCAGTGCGCAAAGGACAAGAGTGCAAGCCTAAGCCAAATAACCGTGATCTCCGATCCCTCAGGCGGCGCTGCATCATCATTCATCTATAAGCCGCTTCACCATATGGGCTCAGGAGTACTTTAGCAAACCTTTGTCAACATTACATCCATAAATGCTAGTTAAAACTGCACTGTGCGGAAAGGAAGCCCTATGTTAACAGTGTCCAGAAGTGTTGTCAACTTCTCTGAGCTTGAAGGCATCTGGGATGGACCACCACACAGTGGAAACATGCACTGTGCTCAGATGATTCAGTATTTTTTTAGGTGTTTGTTTGAGCGAAATGCATGCTGCATGCTCCGGACCAAAGAAGAACAGGCTCATCCAGACTGTTACCTGTCAGGGTTCTGCCACTCTGGTCTTGTAAATTCTTGTTTTGGTGGCAGAGCTCGGACACTAGCCATGTCTGGTCCTGTTTCTGTCTCTGAGTGCGCGCGCGCCGTCGTGGGTGTACGGCCTCAGATGCGTGCGCTCTTGTACTCGTGTTTGTGTTTTCGTCTGTCAGCAGCGTGGTGTTTCATTCCCAGCGTCTCAGTCTTGTTGGTTTCGGTTTCGGCCGGCGCTGGGATGAAGCATGCACGCTGCGTGTGTGAGCGCACGGTGAGTGCTTTCATTCATCGTGTGCTTGTGTCTTGCGTCTGTTGTCAAAGCACGTGGCTTGGTGTTTACATTGTGGTCACGTGCTTTTGTCGTGTGCTTCAGTGTTGTGCTTGTCTTGTCATGAACATGCGGTTAATGAGTTCTCTCATTGGCTGCATGTTCTTGTCCTGTGTTATGTGGGCGCATGGCTTGTGTTGTCTCTCTGTCATGCTCTCTCCCGTCTTTTGTCTATTCCCACCCTCCTTGTTAACTCATTATTAGTTTGTCATGTTCACCTGTTTGTGTCAATTTACTTTTGCTTTATAATCCCCCTCATGTCTTCAGTCCTTTGCCAGTTCGTCGTCGATATTCCCTCTGTGTTCCTGTTCCAGTCATGTCTTGCCAGCCCAGCCCAGCCAAGTTTGTCTGTTTTTGATTCATGTTTTCCCCCTCGGGGTAGTTTGTTTTGCCTTTTTGTTTTATTTGTACTTTATTATTAATAAAACCCAATTATTGTTTGCATTTGAGTCCTCGCTCCCTCATCCTTCCCGAACCCTGACAGTTACCAGCAACAAGTCCAAAAGCCAGGGTCAGGTTATGGTATGGGGTTGTGTCAGTGCCCTTTGCAAAGGTAACTTACACTTCTGTGATGCACTGTTAATACTGCAAAGTACATAGAAAATTTGGAGCACAATACCCTGCTTCCCTTTGGTAGAAGATTTAGAGTCCCAAAGTGTAGGCTACAAGAAATCCTTTGTACCTGTTCCAGCGGGTTTATTTAATAAGAGTATATCTTAATTAGCATTTATAAATGTTGTAATTGTTGTATTTTGTATTGTTTTTTTTATTGCTTGTTTTAGTGAATGTCTGCAGCAATATGGCGATGCCCATAACAAATCTCCTGTCAAGAACAATATAGTTTTTTACTACTACTATTACTACTATTACTACTTACAACACAAATATAAAGAGTTTAGATGCAAAAAATCTCTAAATGCCGTCTGAAATTTTCCTCTAAAATGAGCATTTTTATCAGGCTCCTGTGTGGATGTTCAGCAATATCACTTTTATAGCATAGAATATGTCCCTTTCCAGGTCTTTAAAGTGAAATATCTAAACACAAACAAAGGAGGCTGAGAAAAATGTTCACTTTCAATGGAAATTTCAGACGGCACTTGCTTCCTTCTAACATTTTTATTTATTAAAATTACAAACACAGAAGAGTTATGATAAAACATGCAATGACTCATGCAATAAATCAGCAAGAGAAATAAAAGAGAAAAGCCCTAATTCCTCCTCACCTCAGCACTCACCTCCTCCCCGCTTCTGTAAATGAGCAGGTCGAAGGGAATGGCGGCCACCATGTCGATCAGGAACCAGCCTTTAAAGTAATGCACGGCGATGCGCAGCGGGTGACTGACCACCTCGTCGTTAGCGTTGACGTATGTGGTGCGGAAGTTGATGACGATGTCGATGATGAACATGATGTCCACGATCAGATCCACCACGTTGAGCGGGCTGCAGGAGTATCCGCAGTTCTGCATGGAGCCGTCTTCAGCGTTATCCAGCAGGAACGCAGCGGAGTACGGCGTCAGGATGGCCGTGTAGATGACCAGCAGCAGGATCAACCAGTCCCACACCGCTTTAAACGGGCTGTAGTGTAGAACCGTCCACTTGTGGATCCGCGGAGCCTGCAGCTTATACTCCGGCAGAACGTCGGCGCCCAGAGACAGAACCTGCAGGAGGACACAGGACACACTCAATACTACATTTAGTCATTTCGCAGACGCATTTGTCCACAGAGACTCACAGCTGAGGAGGCATTCAGTGATTCACCAAGAAGAGGCAATACACACTAGTGTTGTCATGATACTGCAATATTGGTACCAGTTGGTAGACCCACACAGAATCTGCACATGCAGAAATCTGCAGATAAATCTGTTTATTTACTTGTGTAAATGTGTATTTATTCAGTTTTAAATCTATTTCAGTAATCAGTCCCTGCAGGATTTTGCAATTTTGCGATCGCTGAATTTATTGCAAAATCAACTAACTCCACAAAATTTTGCAGATCTCGCATTTTTTTTCTGAAATGCCACGGATTTCCTGTGAAGCCATTATTTTACACACATCATGATCATATAGGTGGCAGAATATACCTTTACGCTGGTCTGTACCTCAGCAAATAAATAAGAGAGAAAAAGACAGCCCACGTTGAATATGAGTAAACGTACAAAGTAAAAATGTTAATGCAAAAGACCATAAAAACTTGAGGTGAGTGAAAATAGTCCAGTAAAGACTTGCTGCATGCACAGAACATAACACAGGCATTGTGTCACAGCACATATCAGCGGAACCTACAGTGCACAGCTGATTCACGGCTGTTTTACAGATCCTTCTGTTTCTATTTACCTGAAGCTGAAGTCAGAATTATTTGCCATCCTGAATCTCCAGAAGAAAACATATAATAGGTAATACTGTGAAAAATTATTTGCACTGTTAACCATAATTTGGGAAATATTAAAAAAGAAAAAAAAATGAAAGAAGGAATAATTTTGACTTCAACTGTGTGTGTGCGTGTGTGTGCGTGTGTGTGTGTGTGTGTGTACATATACATAGATTTTTGTCAGTGGTATATTTTTTTTTACAGCAAATCAACACAAAATAAGGATGCAAATATTGCCACAAATTAAAAAAAAGCTACAGCAACTTCGGCGCCAATAGCCTAGTGGTTAGTGCGTCGACACATAGCACCCAGGTGCTTGTGGTGATCCGAGTTTGATTCCTGGCTCGAGGCTCTCTCTGCTCCCCACACTTTCATGTCTGTCAATCTCTACTGTCCTATAAATAAAATTGAAAACCCCTAAAACAAAAGAAAAAACTAAATAAAAAACTGCAGCAAAAGTAGATTTTATGCTCAGTTTAAATATTTTCCGTCTTTTAGTATATATATATATATATATATTATATTATATGAGAGACTTACTTTGTTTACCAGTTAAGACGATCTAATTGGATTTGAATTGTAAACATTAAATAAAAGTTAAAAAGCTGTTATTTTTTATTTCATATATTCATTTTTCTTGGTGACGCGGTGGCGCAGTAGGTGGTGCTGTTGCCTCACTGCAAGAAGGTCGCTAGTTCGAGCCTCGGCTGGGTCAGTTGGCATTTTTGTGGAGTTTGCATGTTCTCTCCGTGTTGGCGTGGGTTTCCTCCAGGTGCTCCGGTTTCCCCCACAGTCCAAAGACATAGTGTATAAGTGTGAATCAGTGTGAAAATGTTTCCCAGAGATGGGTTGCGGCTGGAAGGGCATCCGCTGTGTAAAAACGTGCTGGATAAGTTGGCGGTTCATTCCGGGACTAAAGGGACTAAGCCGAAAAGACAATGAATGAATGAAAGAATAAACGATTAATTTTACTTTAGTTACGATAATCTATCTAAATTCTTATAAATCTACTAATTTTATTTTATTTTTTTACAAAATTCTGCACAGAAAGAGCGAAAATTTGGTCTCACCAGTCGGTACTGAGTTTGTAAAAACAGCCATTTCCTGCTAACATTTCTGCGGTGTTGAGCACGTTCTTAAACAGCGCTGATTTGCTCAACAGTGCTGATTGTGTTCACCTGATCGACAGAAATGACTGTGATTGACTGCTGTTCACTGAGTGCCAACACAAATACATGGACACTGGATCGTTCTAAAGCAGCGATAATCAGTGGATTTATCAGCAGATCGATCACATCATATTAAAATATTAATAATGTCATATTAAAATAAGAGTATGGCCACGTAACATCTTTAGGAATAAAAAATATAGATCAGTGGCGTAGCGCAAAATGTGAGGGCCCCCCGCAGGGATCACTGACGGGGCCCCCTGATAAGGGGGTGGAGAGACAACGCGGGAAAGCCTTCACAACTGAGGAGCGATCACAAACTAAGGTGCGGGAAAGGGGGGCGGGGTGGAGCGACAACGCGGGGAAGCCTTCCCAAACTGGGGAGCGATCACAAACCGAAAGCGGCGAGAGCATCAAAGTAGCCGGAAGTTATTAATTTTCAATGAGAACCGGCGGCGAGGAACAGCGCGGCGCGTCTTCTCCGGTGTGGGCATTGAGGAGAGTTGTAATCAAATCAACTTTATGGTAATGAGCTATGACGCGGTTCGGCGGCAACCAATCAGAATGAAGAAGTCCACCGCTTGAGAAGATTACCGAGAACACAGACCTGTGAACTTTGGTTCCGACCACAGTTGTTCCCAAGGGTTTGATGATTGCGGTTGCCGGATTTTCAATTATTGATAATCGCGACGACGCGGGGCCCCCTAATCACGCCATGTGATCCATGTGATTTAAATGCCATTTTTCAATAAAAAAAGTCTCACCACAAGGTCAGAATTTACCAGTATTGCAGTACACACACACACACACACACACACACACACACACACACACACACACACACACACACACACAAACATAAATTACATTTCATTCCTAACACACTACTATACAACGTAAACAAAACATTTCCAAGTAGACTCTAAAGCTTCTGATTGGCTGATAAGCACTCTAAGGTGTTTGGTTATTGTCAAACAAAAGCACAGCTAAAGTAGTTCCGGCAGGTTTTGAGCACATTACAGCACCATATAACTCCGCTCAATGATAAGAGCTCAGTCAAAAATCACATCAAAACACAACAGAAGATGAAGTTGTGGAGGAAACTACTACTACACACAGGAGAGGTTGGAGGAGGACAAACACCTGACAAATATAACATCTCAACAGTGGAGACCAGAGGAGAATACTATAACCACTTCTGGGATGGGGAATTATTAGACAATAAGGCACCGGCAGTAGTTCCGGCAGATTGTTTAGTGCATTTCAGCTCCATATCACCACACTGAATTATTAGAGTTATTTCAAGCTACAACAGTCAGAAATCACATCAAAACACAACAGAAGTAGCCTCCTCATTTCTTCATAACTTTACATCATTTCAATATTTTCTTTCTTATATTGTATATACTAGGGACGCCACGGTTCTCAATATAATATTGAACCATACTGTACCACCTCCATGGTTCAATAGGCGATTGAATCGCGTTTTTCTCAGTTTTGTTTAAGTTTTATACCTCCCCGAATTGACTGTGTGTGCCTGTAAGTCCATGAGCTGAGATGAAGAAACTCCTCCCCGCGAGTAAATATCCAATCACTATGCTCTAAAGTTAGGGGGCGCTTGAGCTTCATTCCACACTTGAACATGGCGAGCGGCGGTGAAGTGAGGTTGAGGCAACAGTACCAGGAAGCACCGGCGAAATGAGGCAACAGTACAAGGAAGCGCCGGCATCTTTCAAATCTGCGGTGTGAGGACATTTCGGTTTTGCCGGTAAGTATAATGCCAATAAAAGAAAAAACAGTGAACAAAAAAATAACTGTGTGCAAGCATTGATTTACACGTATAACCATGACTGCACATCTGCAGCGCCATCACCCAGCAATATCACTGTCTGAAGCAGAACAGCAGAGAAGGTAATGGAGTCCTCCAAACAGCAACAATCCCTCGCTGAATCTTTCCAGTAAACAAACCCAACTGGCTCCGAGAGACACATAAAATAACAAAGGCAGTGCGGCTGTTTACTGCTGACGATTTGCAGCCGTGTTCGGTGATTGGAGATGTGGGGTTTTGTCATCTTATAAAAGCACTCGATCCGCGTTACAGACTACAGTCTCGTTTTTTTTTTTCAGCACCGAGATAATTAAGATGGTTTATTTATGTTCACTAAAGTACAAATATGTTTAGCTGAAATGACAAATTTATCTTTATTAACTTCTCATGTGTGTTTATTTTCAAAGTGTAAGACTTAATGTGTTCCCCAGATTGTACATGGGCTACAGCAGCTGTGAGATTTCAGTGTTCATTTTTTTGTTTTGTTTTTTAATAATCATTTTTTAGGGGTTTTTCACCTTTATTATGACAGGACAGTAGAGAATTCAGACAGGAAAGCATTGGGAGCAGAGAGAGGGCAAGGATCGGCAAAAGACCTCAAGCCGGGAATCAAACTCAGGTCCCCGTGGGCACGTTGGTGCTATATGTCAGCGAACAGTACCACTATGCTACTGGCGCCAACCAGTGTTCATTTCTGTATACAATACACTAGGAACTAGTGTACTTTTCTTGGCTTTTAAATAAAACAAAATGAGTATTGTATGAGTAATGATCTTACTGTTTCTATTGCCTATATAGAATAAAAAAAAATAAATAAAAAAAACACAAGTCCAGCCATGAGAACCGAACCGAAAACCTTGTTAAAAAACCGAGGTATGTATTAAACCTTGGGCTAACTGTATTGCTGCATCCCTAACATAGACAGTCAATATATAGGATCCAGCTAGATATAAACTGCTTTGTACAAACATCTGAAGGTTACAAAATACCCTAATAAACGTCTAAAGCACTAGCGCACTAGTGAGGGAGGGTGAGCTGAGCGGACACAAGTGCAGTGTGTTGGTGTTTGAGAAGGGTTGACCTCTCATGAGCTCTGCTGATGCTCTTATATAAAGCTCTTGTGCTGCTTTAGGTGAAACTCTCTGTCAGAGTTTCTGTCTTCTGCATGAGTGAAAACTCTGATGAACAGAAGCAAAGCGCTGAGCATTTAAATCACGCTGTTTGGAAACATAATGTGACACCATACAAGTACAACACAACAAACACAAACAAACACACTGATTTTTATGCATT